ATGTCTAAATTTATAAATGGTTATAGGATTTTTTTCCGAGTCACAATGTGATTATTTTCTTTCTCTACTTTAAGGTTTATGTTAAATAACATCATGCAAGTGAAGCCACCAATATTTAAATCGCTCCCGCGCTAATCTAGCCGGTGCAAAGACAGCGAGAACAAATGCACGAGCATATGTATAATTTTGATCTGCAGCTTCTCTATTTCTTCGTCTCAAAATTCTATTGATTCTTCTTTCCTTCTTTTAAGACTCACTATCTATCTATCTATCTATCTATCTATCTATCTATCTATCTATCTAATGAGAGCTCAATATAAGAATAGATCAAATATAGTAATGAATACATCCAAAAAATCATATCCATTTACGTGATATTTTATTTCGAGGACTCAGAATTCCATCTGTTCAGACCAAATTTTACAAAAAAAATTTTTTTTTATTTTTATTTTGCAAAATTTGTTCTGAAGAGATGGAATTCTAAGTCTTCGAAATAAAATATCACCTGAATGTGTTCATTTTATATATATATATTGTGTGTTTATTATATATATATATATATATATATATATATATATATATATATATATATAAATGGACACCCATACTTGAGTAGTTCTTTTTTTATTAATTTATTTATCAAACTGTATATTTATTTACTTACATCTACCAGCCTGATTATTCGAAAAATTTTGATGGAAAATATGCATCTTGCGCCCCCTGTGGGAAACCGTCATTAGATCTGACGCTGCTTAGACGAACTCTGCCACGTAGGATCAAAGAAAGCCCGAATAGTGCTTTTGAACACACAGCCCCCCGATTCTCGAAATATACATATCTGGTCTGTTTTGTATCCTAACGTAAACAAAGACAATTTTTAAGAAATGGATTAAATTCGACATATATTTAATTGATTTTTATTTTTAAATGGATGCACATATTTGAGTAGATGTTCCGTTTTTTATTTAGTTATTGAACGGTATATTTATCCATTTACATCTTTCTGAAAAAAGTAACGTTTAAAAAATGAAGTAAGCATATATTATTTTATTCGAAAATTATAACATAAATATATTATAAAATCACTACAAAAATATCTATTTTGTTTCAAAACTTCTAGTGTCTTATTAAGTGATGGTGTTGAATGTTGAATAAAGGTTTATATATATCATCCTATTCATATCTTTCTATCTTAATCTCTTTATATATGCATATTATTCCAATTTATGTCATCATTCTACTATTTCAATTTATTGATCGTTTCCTATTATTCTCTGTCTATCATTTCCAGTTCATATAAATCACGAGAGTTCACATTTTCTATCTATCTATCTATCTATCTATCTATCTATCTATCTATCTATGTTCTACCCTTTTTCTAGACTTTATTCTTTATCATTTCCCCGTTATCAAATCACTCATTCATCCATTCCTACATATTTTTACTGCTTATACACTAATTTGTACCTATTTAACGCAACTCTCCGCATTATCAACATCACAGATGGTAAGAGCTTCTCTTGTGTACACGTTCTCCTCGTTAGTTGCACAGCGTCTCTGTGCTGGGGAAACGCGTAACTAAAAGCCATCAATTTGTGTCCTTTCCGTTTGTTCGCCTGCCATTTCAATATGTCAGCCAATATTTCACTTGAATTCCTTACCGGAGTGATTATTCCCTATAACGTCCTTATTCACTGATATTTCCAAATAGTTTCTCTCTCTCTCTCTCATTCTATCTATCTATCTATCTATCTATCTATCTATCTATCTATCTCATCCTATTCATGTCTCTCTTCTCTCTCTCTCTATATATATATATATATATATATATATATATATATATATATATATATATATATATATATATATATATATATATATATATATATATATATATATATAGAGAGAGAGAAAAGAGAGAGATATAGAGATATGTAAGCATTTCACCCAATCAAGGCGGGAGGGCCACCGGTGCGTAAGGCGTTACAGAAAGTGATATTAAGAGAAAAGACTACGGGGTATTAAGGAAATGATAAAAAGAAGAACGGGTGTCAATGCATCAGAAGATGTTGATTGACGTTACATTTAAATTTTTGAAAAATGTAGTTATCGGGGAAGCAAGTAAGTGGAAGGTTGTTCCACTGTCGGGAAGTGACATAGAAGAAGCTGTTGGAGTAGAAGATACGGTTACATTTAACTTTTTCAACAGTAAAAGTGTGGGACCGAGATTCGAACCTAGTAGCACGGTTAAATTCAAGCAGGCAGGGCACCAGGGAAAATAACTCACCAGATCAGTTGCCATGAAAATGTTTGTAGAAAAAACAGAGGGATGCCATATCACGCCAGTCAGAAAGTGACTGGAGTAATATTGCTAAGTCAGGCGTGATCACATTAAAGATCTGTCTTTGGAGAATCTCAAGATGAACTGCAGAGGCGCCAGACCATATATGGCAGCCGGACAAGTGGTAGATTTGTTGATTTATAGGATGGACTCAGACGAGAAAAACGCGTCACACAAAAAGATTTTTCCACTTTGTCATTAATGTTCCTAATATTGTTCTGGCAGAAATCACATCACGCGACAGCGTTCAACAGCAGCAACAACTAAATGGATAGCACATATAAATCAGAGAGAATAATGGCATAATCAAGATGTTGACATTGCAGGCTACTTCAAAGAAATGGTTAGAAAGGAAATCCCCATCCATACTGGATTGAAAGATAACAGCTACTGAACATGTAAAACCTGAAAAATATTATTTTAAGATTGATTTGGTTTGGTTTATTTTATGGCATATAAACATCATTGGGTTATTTAATGCCGACAAGATTTTTATTGCTGGTAATTTTTTTTTTTAAATGCATTGCTGGTAATAATTTTTCTTTTTAAAATGTACTGTTGGTAATAATGTATTGCTGGTAATAATTTTTCTTTTTAAAAAAATTACTGTTGGTAATAATGTATTGCTGGTAATAATTTTTCTTTTAAAAATGTACTGTTGGTAATAATGTATTACTGGTAATAATTTTTCTTTTAAAAATGTGCTATTGGTAATAATGTATTGCTGGTAATAAATTTCACAAAAAAGTATTGCTGGTATTAAAACCTATTTTTACACTTTCATAGTGTTTTGACACCAGTTTGGGGGGTTAACTATTTCCCAATAGCTGGGACTCTAACAGGTTCTACAATCCTTGGTCAGCGTGGACCTGGGAACACCAGTAATTAAAAGGTCGTTCCACGCCCCTCAAAACCTCCGGATCAGAGGCCTTGCTGTTGGACGTAGTTTATCGTCTTACCCAGAACGTGGATGTAGTTTACAGTCATACCCAGGACGATATTATCTTAAGACAAAAATATTATTTCAACCGAAATTATCACTGGTGTTAGATCAATGAATTTCGAATATTTCTTTATAGGGAAACCTCTAATATTATCATTTACAAGGTCCATCATTCGAGAAATATTCCATTTGGATCTAAATATATAAGACACTAATCAGAAGTAACATCAAAAGACATACATTTGTCTTTCCTACATTGATCTAATTTTGAGAAGGTTTGAGAACCAATTCATATATATATATATATATATATATATATATATATATATGTGTGTGTGTGTGTGTGTGTGTATGTGAAATGGGCATAAAAGAAGGATTGCTGCCTAAATACAAACATACATACATATATGTGTGTGTGTGTGTATTTAGGCAGCAATCTTTCTTTCATGCCCATTTCATTGAATACGACAGACAAGGTGCTTTTATTTAGTTTTTTATACAATTTCTCATGCGATCTAATACTTTTTCTTTTAGGATGATAAATTATATAAAAACTGTCCGAATGTTCGTTTTATCCGAGCGCTTTCAGCTATACATTTAGCCATTTATGTTTTATAATATGTTTTCATTTTTCAAAACACGGTCAAGATATTGTGTCCATATTCAAAATTAATACTATTAAGTGTTTTTTTTTTAATTTTTTTTTTTAATTTTTTTTTACTTTTAGCCTTTTTTGCATGTAGAAGTTACATTAGCGTTGTCAACAAGTATGTTACGAATAGTGTCCGGTAGGTCTCCATGAATATTTAAATGAGATATAATTCAGCTATGGTCAGAAAGATGTAGAATGAGTAAAACATACAGACAACAAATAATTTCTTATTTTAACAGTTAAAATATTTAATCCTTGAAAATGGCTAAATGTATAGCCGAAAGCGTTCGGATAAAAAGAACATTCGGACATATTTTTATATAATTTATCATCCGAAAAGAAAAAAATATATATATATATATATATATATATATATATGTGTGTGTGTGTGTGTGTGTGTGTGTGTGTGTGTGTGTGTGTGTGTGGTAAAGACTTTAGGTTATTTCAGCAGCCTTTGTGTGATAACCATTTGCATTTACTCCATTTCCATGACTATCCATCCGTATGTCCATGTGGAGCTGACAAGATCTAATAAATTCACTCGCTTGTATCTTGCAATACACTTTATATTGTAGCATGGTCGATTACGGCAGCCATGATAGATAAAACCATTCGTTCCTAAAGTACTATAAATAATAATATAAAAACCTCAATGACTTACACTGATTTCAATGACAGCAAATAAAAGAGAAGTAAAGAATCTAAAAGCAAAATTAAATATATATATATATATATATATATATGTATATGTATGTGTGTGTGTGAGTGTGTAAAGAATGTGTTTTAGTTATCTCAAGTATATACACGATGAAAACCAACCAACTGGTCTGCTTCTCAATTAGGATTGTGTGAAAGTGACAAAGAATATTTACAACATACGGATACTTCTCAAATATTACATCGATTTTAGAGACTCACCATCAGCGGAAAGATGTAGGTGATGAGGGCAAAAAGTTTGAATGTTCTGGGCATCAAGTATTCAGGCAGTTGCCCCTATACTCCATCTTTGTCTCCCTTTGCTAGATTATGTGTCCCTTTAACTCTATCGCCTTTTCTCAGAGACAATTTTACCATTTTTTACCATCTTCCTTAAATTCTCTACATCTTTCAAATATAGTGTCTATCTATATTATCTTCATCATCATCATCTCTCTCTCTCTCTCTCTCTCTCTCTCTATCTATCTATCTATCTATCTATCTATGTCACTCTTCATATCTATGTATATGAATCAAAAATGGTATTTTGCTTCGTAGTGACTACATGTGGCTTTTTAAAAATATTATTTCGGGGATCAGATAAAGATTCTAATCGACAAAATAATGTGAAACTAGATAATGTTGTGAATGTCTGTCATTATCGAAAAATATTTTTCTTGTTCATTTTCTACATTTTGATTTTGTCCACATTTTGTTATTAAAGCAATCCTTCTATTTCTCTCACTATATATCTATTTTCACAAATAATCATCCTAGGTCCTTACATATCTATCTATCTATCTATCTATCTATCTATCTATCTATCTATCTATCTATCTATCTATATCTATGTCACTCTTATTTATATCTCTTTTTATCTTCATATATATCTAGCTATCTATGTCATTCTTCATATCTGTCTGTCTGTCACTCTTCATATCTATCTATCTATTTTATCTATCTATCGTATTTCTATCTATCTATGATGCTCTCGTATTTCCTTGATGCTCTCGTTTACAACATGCCTGATGGTGTTCATTGGCACTTTTAGCTGATCAGCGATAGCTCGTATAAATTTGTTGATATGGTTGAGATATACTAACTGGGATATCCTTACAATAGTTGACCACTTATGGGTGTTTTTTAACGGACAATTGATGAGTCAATCTCGTCATATGCCTCGAAATTGTTCCTGAATTGTTCATTGATATTATCAGGAACGTACCTTTTCCGTTTACTCTGTCAGATTGAAGTATGCCATTTTAATGATTCCGATACGTTTGAAAGTAATGCGAAATTTTCAATTTGTTATGATGTCTTCCATTTATGGCCCACTATATATATATATATATATATATATATATATTTTATCAAATATATGTTTGCATCAAATACCTACATCATCAGTTCTACCAAATTTTTTAAATTATTTATGACTTCCAATTTACCAAACTTGAGTTGATTCTCTCAATTCTACCTATTGGTATAATTGGGAGATATAACGCGTTTATGGTGACTCTTAAATCTACCAAACGCGTTATGACTCACATTTCTACCAATCTTATGATGACTCCTAAATCTACCAAACGCGTTATGACTCCCATTTCTACCAAAGTTATTATTACTCGTATTTCTACCAAACCTTTTATGACTCGTAATTCTATCAAACCCGTTATGACACTAGGAAACCATATGAGACTCCCGTGAAGCAATGTTCAAACCTTCGATAAAGAGTTTGAAATAATTATGGGTTTAGTCTTAAAAAATACCAACAATGTTTATTTTCTCGGTTTCCATTTAGTGACATTTCTTATTTTGCTCGCTTTTTGCAATGGCGTGTCTATATTTGGAAACATCTAGTAACGACTATGACTTCAAAGTTCTTTTCTCTGCTAACTTTTCTTTTGTTTTTACATAGGAAATGGTTTATTGACAACTGATGCAAATTTGCGCATGTGCGGCAAGGATTTAGATTTGCATTTTAATGGACACAGAACACGCAAAATCGTTGGGACAGTCAAACAATAATGGTAAAGTCATTGTGCTAGTACTAATAGTACCAAGAAATACGATAAAAAACGAATGATGATGAGGGGGAAGAGAAATTAAAACCAAATACAAGAAAAGGGAAAAAGTAAAAAGAGAAACACAATATGAACGAAGCAAACAAATAATAATAATAATAATAATAATGATAATAATAAAAAGTAGAATAGTAATAATAAAATAATAATAATAGTAATAATAACATAGTAATAATAAATAAAATAAAATAAAATAAAAATAAAGAAATGAAATAATAATAATAATAATAATAATAATAATATCAGTTGACTTCAAAATTTATGTTAAAAAAATGTATATATTATATAATTTATTTTATCTTACGCTAGGTCTTTAGTAATGATTCGGTGATGGATTATACTAACCAGAAAGCAGAAATTAATAATAGTAATTATAGAAATAATTATTATTTTAAATGTAAAGCTACAACATTATATAATATATCATAAAACTATTCAATTATTATTATTATTATTATTATTATTATTATTAATAATAATAATAATAATAATATACAGTAAAAAAAGTAAATCTCAAGAAAAAGATAGAAATATAAATGGAAAATTCAAGAAAAGTTTTAGAAAATATAAATAACAATGGTTCACACAGTTTTTTGAAACACACACACACACACACACACACACATATATATATATATATATATATATATATATATATATATAGCTAATGCAACAATCTTCTGAAAATGTGCCTATTGTACAATAAGTGCGTATTTGATGCAAGCAGATCGACTTCTACTATTCACCCTTTTATGTCATATTCCGCCAAATACAATCTCCCTCCTCGGTAATCGATGATGGGAAGCAGCTTAAAGCTATGCGTGAATGATTAAATCAAATACAAATAAAAGAAACGGATAACAAATAGAATATTATGGAATAGATAATAAAACCAGTGCTTTATACGGTTTTATCTACAGTGGTCTATCAATGGTATAAGTAAATTTACAATAATTTTATCCCTTACTAGTAAAAACACTTGAGACAAAAGAAATCTAATTTTGAAAAATGGACTGAACATGTGAATAATGGGGAAGTTTCAGAAAAAATAGAAACAAATTTTACACTTATATTTAGCATAAAAAAGAAAAAAATATTTCTAGGACAGATAATGGGGGAAAAACGGCTTAGAATATTTGAACCTCAAAGGATATATTGACAGTATGAGGGACGGAGGAAAGCAACACAATCTACTTAACGAGCTTGTGTAAATGGTTGGTAGAAATGAATTAAGAAAGATAGAAAAAAGACAAATTTTACTAAAAGATACAAAGGATGGGAAGTTGCGGTTGGCCATGACCGTCCAATTCTTAATGGGACACGGCATACAGAGAAAGAAGAAACAAAAAAAATCGAGTTAGATTTAAATATAGCCACACATTGGTCGGAGGATTAGGTACATAAAAACGAGAAATGCTGTTATTTTCACTGATTTGAGGGGTAAATAATACTAAAGTATAATTCAGTAAGATTATATACACATATATGTCTGATACGCATGCACTAACACATATTAATTTACATATACATACATGACTGATACGCATACATTCGCACATATTAGTTTACATTTACATACATGTCTGATACGCATGCACTCGCACATATTAGTTTACGTATACATACTTGTCTGATACGCATACATTCGCACATATTACTTTAACTATACATACATATCTGATACGCATGCATTCTCACATATTAGTTTCCATATACATACATGTCTGATACGCATGCACTTGCACATATTAGTTCACATATATACATATATGTCTCATACACATACAGTCGCACATATTAGTTTACATATACATACATGTTTCATACGCATGCACTTGCAAATATTAGTTTACGTATACATACATTTCTGATACGCATGCACTCGCATATATTATTTTACATATATATACATGTCTGATACGCATACATTTGCATATATGATTTTACATATACATACATGTCTGATACGCATACATTCGCATATATTTGTTTATATAAACATACATGTCTGATACGCATGCACTCGTACATATTAGTTTCCATATATATACATGTCTGATACGCATGCACACACATATTAGTTTACTTATGCATACATGTCTGATACACATGAACTCGCATATATTGGGTTACATATACATACATGTCTGATACACATACGCTCGCACATATTATTTTATGGTAAGACGCTTTATGTTTATTGCCTGTATGTTTCCAGGTGATAAAAGATATTGTGACTAACATTTTTTTTTATAATTATTATAAAATTCTACATCTCACGGTTTTAGTCAGCACGACGGTTACGACCTGCCAATACCTCACAAATAATGGACTATTCCGTTTTGATCGAAAGACAGAAAAGGGTAGATCAGAAACGCGACTTGATTTCAGTGAGAAAAATAAATAAATAAGGGAAGATGAAATTGTTTAATATCGCATAAGTGATGAACTATTCCGTTTTAAATGCGTAGAAAGACAGAAAAGACATATCAGTGACTCTACTTGGTTTGAGTAAAAAAAGAAAGACGGATGGGGAGATAGAATTGGTTAACATGTTCTTCCAATACCTTATAAATAATAGACTATTAAGACGGGAAAGTTGGAATATGAAAGAAAAATGGGAAAACAATATTAAGTATTTAACGTCAGTTTCAGTGAAATGTATAACATTGTCAATTTCAAATCTTTTCATTTGTATCCACTTACTTTTTAAAATAACTTCCATCGTTACTATTTATGATTACTATGGCAACACAAAGAATACTTGTCTATATTTCTGATATTTTTATTTACAGTATTTACATAGTTTGGATTGTTGTCCTCAACTTTATTGAATATGGCAATACAGATGAGGACAACAGTCTGAACGATGTAAATATTGTAAATATTTTGTTAAAATTGTTAATCTTAGATATTTAACGATGCAATAGTGGAATTATCTACGGATATTTTATTGTCGTAGAACTCGCTATAAGCTTATTCAATCATTAACGCAATAATTAAAATTCATCAGAAATGAAAACTTCACAGCTATTTCTAGTTATTACAGCTGTTCCTATGAACATTACCCTCCCATTATTTGTACACACACACACACACACACACACACACACACACACACACACACACACACACACATATATATATATATATATATATATATATATATATACAAATAATGGGAGGGTGTAAAACAAAATTTTCCAAATCCTGTAACAGCAAAATTGTTCAATTGTTAGATTAAGATATGAAACGTTGTATCTTAGAAATGATTAAAGATATCTTACTGGGATTCTCCGATATTTTGGACTCTACTTTGAGCAATAAGTATGTGTAATTACTCTCCAAGCTGAACAGAAGAATCGTGAAAAATTCCATCATAAATGAAAATGACATGTTCATCCTTAAATAATCATAGCTAAAGATAGGAATCTCATGAAGGATTGAAATAAAATTCAAATATATATATATATATATATATATATATATATATATATATATATATTATTCCAGGATCATTTACCAACATTCAAAATTATCTTGCCTTCTCTAACCTTTTAACTTTCTGTCTTGGAGTAACAAAGTGTCTCACACATTTCCCGTTAGATTTCATTTCCAAGTCTTTTTCACTACTCTTTGCATTGTTATAGGTGAAACCCCCCTCTCACGTGTCTTATGGATTAAGTTTGATCTCTTTTGGGAGGACAGTGAGCAGCTGCATTCTCTTGAATTTCTTCGGCGTCGTGAAATCTTATTGTCTTTAAGTTGGATTTTATGTTTGAAGAGCAAAATTCGCAAGTGGAGGAATCTTGGGAATATTGTGAATGTAGGATCTGGGGAAAGTTTTACTTGTTCAAAATCTGCTGCAAAACCCATCGCCACTGATGGTGTGCTGGGACGACCAAACTCTACATACTTTCCTTCCAAGCACTGCTAGAAACAGCGACAAAATTCATGGCTCCCAGAC